TTGAGTTTAGGTTAGTTTTAGGGTCAGGAAGGTACCTGTGAGGTTTGTGGTCAGGGTTAGGATATAAAATTACCAAAAAATGAATGGAAGTCAATGGACGGGCCCCACAAGGATATAAAAACAAGTTTGTGTGTGTGTATGTGTGTGTGTGTGTGTGTGCGCGTGTGTGATAATAACCTGTATAGTCAGTTTGTTTATTGTCTCCATGACAACCACTTGATGCTAAAAGACACAGGTCCCCTTCATCATCATTATCATCATCATCATCATCATCATCATCATCATATCATCATTATTATTATCATCATCATCATCATCATCATCATCATCTTCTTCTTCTTCTTCCTCAGCATTCTCTTTACGACCTTCATCATCATCTTCATCAGGTAATAATCAGATGTTTTCTCAGGATTTTTTTGACCAAATAGAATGAATTAAAGCAGATTTAAAAAAACATCTTGTCTCTGACCTTTGACTCGTTTTATTTTCTGTGGTTTTATATTTGTTTGTAGTTTTCTGATTCTGACCATTTAATTTAATTTGTATAGAAACTGTTAAAAAATGATGATTTTATTTAAAAAACTGAAAATCTTTGTTTCTAATAATAAATGTAAAAAAAAAAGACAAGCAGCTGTTTGTTTGAGCAGCTGGTTCTGGTTCTGACCCACTGGGCTGAGCTCTGTTATTTAAGGTCTGTTTCTCCAGGCCCGCTTCAGCGCGATAAGATTCAGAACCAGGAGGACAAACAGCTGAAGATCCTTCAAGACCTGAATGAGAACCAGGACAGGTTGGTCCAGCCCGTCTCTTATCTGCTGCTCTCCAGCTGGCTCCATAAAGCTTTTCATTAGGCTGGGCTTTAAAACAAACCAGAGGGGGCGGGGCCTCCACAACACCCATCAGAAGAAATGAAGAGGGCGGGGCCTCTACGACACTCCATCAGAAGAACTGAAGAGGGCGGGGCCTCTACGACACTCCATCAGAAGGACTGAAGAGGGCGGGGCCTCTACGACACTCCATCAGAAGAACTGAAGAAGGCGGGGCCTCTACGACACTCCATCAGAAGAACTGAAGTGGGCGGGGGCTCCACAGCCCCCATCAGAAGAACTGAAGAAGGCGCGGCCTCTACAACACTCCATCAGAAGAACTGAAGAGGGCGGGGCCTCTACGACACTCCATCAGAAGAACTGAAGAGGGCGGGGCCTCTACGACACTCAATCAGAAGAACTGAAGTGGGCGGTGGCTCCACAGCCCCCATCAGAAGAACTGAAGAAGGTGCGGCCTCTACGACACTCCATCAAAAGAAATGAAGAGGGCGGGGCCTCTACGACACTCCATCAGAAGGCCCCGCCCTCTTCATTTCTTCTGATGGAGTGTCGTAGAGGCCACTTCCTTTTTACATTTCCAAAATTTAATCAATCAAACTTGAACCGGAACAGAAACTGGGTCTAAGTAAGACCAGGACCAAGTCAGACCCCAGGAGAACCTAGACCACAACTACTGAGGAAACCAAGTCCTGACTCCCCGTCTCATCAGAACCAAACCCAGAGTCCAGAGGTCCTGTTGGTTCTGAAGTGGACTTGAAACCCACCTTGTTTCACATGGAGGTTCAGAACAATTGAACCAGAACTTCAGACCAACTCTGACTTCCATCCAGAAAATCAACAAGACCTTAAAGAGTCCTGGAACTGCAGCAGCAGAATGCTGATGTAGACCCGGAGAACCTCCCCTAGGTCCAGTTAACGACCAGCCACAAGTCCTCTGAGTTC